GGTGTGCGATGGGGCAGGGGTCTCTGATCCAGAGCCGAGTGAAAGACGGGGCTGCGAAGGTGCTTGGGCACCTCGGTGCGCTCGCTCTCGCTTGGGTCTCCTAGGGGGTTCTGACGTTTAACTCTTGCGGCCCCAATTCCCCATCCGAGTGGTTTGATGTGAGGGAGGCAGAGCGAAGAGGAGACGTGTCTCCTTGTTCCCAGAGGCTGTTGCCTCTGCTGGAGGCTAACGTCTCAGTGGCCAAGGGGAGAATAGGTGTGTGTTTTGCTGCTATTACTCAGGTTCCTGCTGGGGCAGTAGCATAAATAAAAACGGCAACAGCTAAATCTGCCTATTTCCGTGTGAATTGGTGGAGCCCTTTTCCACGTGACTTCTGCTCTTCCAGCGCTGGCTATTTCAAAAAACGAGACAATTAGCCTTCTGTGGATCTGCGTTTTGAATGCAGAACGCTTGCATACACGGAGCAAGAGCCCTTCAGTGTTTTGTGGTATTGGCTTTTTACTGTCTCTGCCCAAAAACAAGAAAATAAAATAATTCTGTCCCTTCTCTGTTGTAGGTACCTCTCCTGCTATTATGCAGGAATTCCCGAAAGTCAAAGGGAAGATGCTGTTTAAACTGATAGCAGAAAATAATTTGAGGAAACTACCAGGAACCTTAGGAAATCTTTCAGGCGTTAACCACTTTCCTGTTTCAAGGCAGATGAAATTCATATACAGGTTGATTTTTTCAAATACCTAGCGTTATAAAATGCACACCTGTTGGCCCAGCAGTTCTTTGTGAATGACGTCTAATGACTTCTCAGAGGTTCGTTGTTCATGCGTTGGTCAAAGTCCTCACCGTTTTAAATAAAATCACTCGACCCTTTTGAGTCGTAGCCAGCCACTTAAAGAAAATTCTTCAGTAGGATGATTCATATTGTGCCTAAAGACAGCTTTCCATATTCAGCCCTCTAGCTCGCTTCCCCCTTGCCACCCCCCCACCGCTGCCTCGAGAAATGGGCAAGAAGCCCAAAACAAGTTAACTCTTGGCTCTTTAAACTTCTTTTTAATCAGTGAGACTTGCAGAAAATCTTTTACCTGAACGCTTTGATTGATGTTGTCTTGTCTATTTGATCCTGAGAACTGCCCTAGGTGTGTATCTTGTGGGGTTTGGGTTTTTTCTATTTTTATTTTTTTGTGAGCTGCTCATTTTAGGAGCATTCGCAGTTCTCTGAATTCTTACTAACAGGCTGAAATTACATCTGTCTCCAGTTACTGTGGTTCTGTAGTTATTTGCTCTTTTGTGTAGATGCTTGACTTGTCAAACGCGCTGTAGTGCCCCTCCTGTACGCTCCTGTGTTAGCTGCCTTTCTGCATCAACGTCTGGGTTTGTTTAGCATAAGGAGTTCTAGTTATTTTTACAGTTAACTTTTGTGTGCGCGTGTGTGTGCGTGCTGGCTGTTGAAGTAGCTCTTATTTTCAAAATAAAATCCCTTGTAGAAAGGAAGCTTTCGTAATCCCATCCTGGTTGTCATGGCACAATTTTCCCCCCTCCCCTCCCCTCCTGCCGGTTTGATCGCTTTTACCAGGCGTGCTTGGGTTATGTTAAACTCGTGAAACCGAATGCTGCTTCAGGTTGGGTACAGGTAAGCCCTAATCAGATTAGCCACTCTGCAAATGGAGTTGCTTATTTCTACCTGTGTTTTCTTGTACTTGAGCAAGTGAATTTGTATGCTAGAGCAAGGCACTCTTCTCTGATAAACTTAATTTGGAAAAAAACCCCAAAAAACAAACAAGACTTGTGCAAGCCTTTTGGTGCTTGTGTGAAGGCCTAGTGAAAATTAGTGACTCTCTTCCCTGGCATTCACTGTGTGTGAATTTTTTTCCCCTCTGCTCTTTCCCACTTCCCCCATGGACAGTAGTTGCATGGTTTTGCCTCTTCCACTTTCTGTCCTCTGGTACCTGTGGAGTAGAGCGTTGCAACGGTCACTTATATCAGTTTCTTGTAGATTGATGTTCATCCACAGCTCTAGAGTCACTGGTTCGGGTGAACAGAAACTCTGGTCTCTCGCAGAGCCCTTTCCTCTCTGCTCCTTCCCTTCTCCTTCCTTCCCACAACTTAAAGTGAAGGAATCTGAGAGCTCCTTGGTTTTCAGCAGTGATGTTCCTAAAGGGAATAAGATGGGAAGACAAATTCAGGAGTGTTGTTTGTTCTTCCCCATTGCTGTCGAGTGCATGAAGGCTTTGGTCATAAATTTCCAGAAGCTTTTAGTTGCGATGCTGGTAGCAAGTAATCACTAAAAGACTTGAGCATCCAGGAGGATGCTCAAACCTCTGCAGTCACCCGTGGTGGTAATGGAGCACTCCCCTCTACTGATGAAGGCTATTGCTGTTGTCGGTGTTACTCGGCGAATCTGCCATAGGGATCCTCTCTTTCTGTTCTGCTTTGATATTGTGGCGTTTCTCAGTCGCTTCCATCTAATTTTTGTCTGCTTGTTAACAACCATCTGCGTCCAGATCATTTAGCTATTTAAAATGTTTATAACTTATATTATTGAACAGACTAAGAGAACGGCAAAAGATGAATTTCTGACAAAAAGACCAATTGTTAATGCCTGGCCCTTACTTCAAAGCATAGTACTAGAACTTTTAAGTTAGGTAAAAACACTTTCCATAGCTGCACTGGAAGTGGAACTGTGTTGGAAGCTTTTTAAAAGCGTATAATTCAGATTGAGGGATGCTACGTATTACCTTTGCTAAGCTTTTGAATGCAAATTCATAAATGACTGCTACTGGAAGGATCAGGCATGTTTAACAGGCAAAGATCATCAGTGTGTTGCGTGGTTAAAATGTGATCTCAAACATTTTGCAGCGTTTAAAGGCATTGGAATTGTGGCACTGTATCAAACTTACGTGTAGCTAAAACTTTACTGTTTTACGTTCTCATTTAAGTGGTGTTTTTTATCTTAAGTATTACAAAAGTGTTGCGAACATTTGATTGTAAGGACAAGTAGTCACAGGGTAGCAGGGAGACTTTCAAATCTATGATTTGATCAATGAGAACTTCCTTTTTTAGCCATTAAAAGTTTAATTCAGTAAAATCCTTATAAAATAGTGACATGTTGAGTAGTGTGCTCATTCACAAGCATTCACTCTTGACATACTTCTGTCATGTCAGCATGAACACAGTCCTGATTGTATGTCTGAATACAACATCTGAATTACTTGCGGTTTTTGTGTGTGTTTGTTCTTTGCCCTAAAGGGATAGTGGAGCAATCACAACAGGCCTATCAAGAAGCTTTTGAAATCAGTAAAAAGGAGATGCAGCCAACACATCCTATCAGATTAGGTCTGGCTCTAAACTTCTCCGTGTTTTATTATGAGATTCTCAATTCCCCGGAGAAAGCCTGTTCTCTTGCAAAAACGGTAAGTCTAAGGGGGGAGAAAAAAACCAGTTCAATTATGTGCATAACCTTTAGGTGCATTCCGAGTGAAGTTGTGTGTTTCTTAACTCTAGGCTTTTGATGAAGCAATTGCTGAGCTTGATACATTAAGTGAAGAGTCATACAAAGACAGCACGCTAATAATGCAGTTACTGAGAGACAACTTGACAGTGAGTATCGTTACAGTCTATGTATTGTTTATAGCGGGACTGGCATTTACGAAACGGACAGTTGTCTTGGTCACTGTTAGCTGTTGAGTTGTGTCTGCCATTTACTTACAGATGAGTTTACAATACGCTGTGTTTCTGAGCTGCGTCTTTTTTCACACCCAACCTTTTGCCTTTGCAGGCCAGTTAATCTGAACACTTTACTGACAGTAGCAAATCCAAATCCCCAAATTATTCAGTAATTGTTTTTTTTTATTCAAGGAATTTAGCCTGTTTAGAAACAGAAAATGAAATAATTTGAACTGTGGCTAGCAAAGCTATTACCTTTTATTATAACAGCAGTAGAGAATACGGTCACATTTGCCTGTAAAATTGTGCTGTCAGACTTCACATAGCTTGGTCTGTGTGACTGCATATGCAAGGAATGGACCCTACTTGAAAACTTGCAAGCAAATCTAGCAAGTCTACTTGGGGACCTGTTCAGTTGTGCTGAAATTGGAATCAGTGTTAGCCAGCATATTTCCAGGGCAGTTAAGCAATGGCTATCTTAATTCCTTTTTACTTGGACTCATAGCTGTCTCCCATGTAAGTTATGGATCAAGATTGTGTCACTCTATCAGAGTAATCAAAAGTTGAATCTTTCACGTGTGTTTTTTAACTTCCATTGAACTTTAAAACTGGCAAAGACAAACATCTAAAGCAAATGGAACGGTAGATGCAAGCAGACTGAGCCAGACTCCTAATTAATAGTAGATTTCAGTCCCCAGTCTTCTGAGGAGTAGGAAAAGTATAAGCGAGAATTGCAAAACAAGCAGCACCTCTGTGGTCTGCAGCTGTACTTCTTTGTTCAGCTGTTCTATGCATCTGAGGTCAAGAGAGCTCTACGGAATGTCTGCACTGCTTTTAACAGAACTGGAAGTAAGGTGGTACAGTTGCATAAGATCACTCAGTGTGCTAAGACCTCCAAATATAGTTAGGCTGTCCTGACAGGAGTTGCCTTTTTTTTTCTGCTCTTACTTCTAACGCTTTATTTACCTATTTCTTGGAATCTTTTCTACTAGAACGGCAACTTCATGCTACTGAAAAAGCTATTTGTGATAGTTCCAGCTGTTGCTTACAAAACAATGGGAAGAGGGATTTCTCAGCCTTCGTAACGGAGATACGGGATAAGCTTTTATGCTGTCAGTGTCTGTGTACCGTCCCCTTGAGTGAGATTGCTCAGGAGCTGACCTCTGAATGAGAGAGATATTGAAATACACAGAGAACAGAAGTTGACTTTACTCTCTAGCTTCCCAGTAAAAATTCATAAAGCTTGTCGTAGCAGTTGGAAAGCAAATTGCTCCATTCCAGGGCGAAAGCCAGTGTGAACTGCCATAGTATGTGAATTACTGTAGTTGGCCTGGTAGTTAAAATCAATTTTCCATTATAAAGGAGAAATCTATAGGTAGTTGGAAGATGAGTAGGCCATTATGTGTTCGGAGGAATGTTTAATAGATGAAGTCAAAATTTATTTCACCAGGATCTAGATATTTCTCCTTTAGTCTTTCCATGTTGCAAAATTACTTTTAAAAAAAAAAAAAAGTAAACAAAAAAAAACCCTTCCTCTAAAGAGATTTTCTCCAGCAGATTCTTTGAACTGTGTCCTCTATTAGTAATCCTCCTTTTAGACCAGTAAGACTTTTTTTATTTACTGCATAATTATATATCTGCAGATATTCTAGAGATGAGGATTTAGGATGTGAGCATTTTCTGTTGCCTTTCTACCAGCTCCTTTCATAAAATTGCTCCTATAACTATTCCTTATAAATGCGTGGAATAGCATTAACGTTCAGAATAATGGATTTGAACTCAGTGCAGGTGCTAGAAAAAAAATATTATACTGTTGTTTTCAGTAAAATAACTTGTGGTTTAGTGTCTTCAGCAAACAACATCTTATACAGCTATTGTGTGTTCAGAACAAGGCTGTCGATCTTGTACAGGTTACTCTGTTGTCCTGGAGAGGTAAAAATGTTTCTGAAACTAGATTTTTAGCATCCTGTGGGATCTTACTGGTGTAAGCTATAGATAGACAAAGAATTTAAGTTCTTTTCAACTTTTACTACCTAAGGCCACGCAGCATAAAGTATTCAGCTGGGACTGCTATAACTCCAGAGAGAGCTATAACAAAACATACTGGACTGGTAATAGGGCAGTAGTTTGGAAGCAGCTAATGTGGAGAAACACTTGATTCACAAAATAATTTTTTTTGATGTGTTGCTCTGATTAGTTGTACTTAATCTTGATATATGGCTCCTTAATATGATGTTCCAGAGACAGAAGTTGGATCTTGTGCATATTCTGTTTTTAGGCTGACTTCCCCCCCTCTGCCCCCAACCCCCCAAATTTGGAATAGCATTTTTCCCTGCAGCAACTTCTGAAACCTTTGGCTGGTCTCAAATTTAACCAAAGGATGTATGGATTTTAGGTAAAGGTTTTGGGGGGGGGGGGGGGGGGGGTGGTGATAGGGGAGAAGCAGAGGAAACAGAACCTGTTTAGTACCTTTTCTGAAGAACAGCAAGCGTTCGCTCTAATGTTGGGTTTTGAGAAAGACCTTTTACTGAAGATTTTCCTCTGGAAAAATACATAAAAGTTGCAATCAAGGAGAAGATGCAAATCCACAAGAAACCAAGTATTGTTAGTTCCTGATTCCCATGTATCTGTTTTGTAAGTTTGATTCTTGCATGCTTCTAATTATAATTTAGTAAGCCTTGTGGGTATGAGACTCTGGTTTTGACTGTTCATGAACTTCCTCATTAAATGCAGTGTGGGGTTGGGTCACCTAGGACTGGATTTCTGTTTTATCTTGTGTAGAAGTTACAGCCATTTACTTTTTCTTCTTTCCTGCGAAGAGAAATTGATATTAATGTTCATGTTTTTTTCATGGTACTTAGTAGGATTTGGCATAAAATTATTAGAAATCCTATTCCGTAAATGACAATTCATTATTAGTTATAAGTTATACATATTAATATCTTAAATATTATACTCTGTTTTCTTTCCCAAACAGTTGTGGACGTCGGATACCCAAGGCGATGAAGCTGAAGCAGGAGAAGGAGGGGAGAATTAACCAGCCTTCCAACTTCCATCTGCCTCATTCTGAAATTTACACAGTAGACCATTTGTCATCCATGCTGTCCCACAAATAGTTTTTGTTTACGATTTGACAGGTTTATGTTACTTCTATTTGGATTTCTATATTTCCCATGTGGTTTTGTTTAATATTAGGGGAATAGAGCCAGTTAACATTTGGGGAATTTATCTGTTTTCATCTGAGGTGGCCAATATAGGGTTGTGACACTTTTATACGAGTTTTACATGTTTGGCATAGTACTTTTGGTACATTGTGGCTTCCCACAAGGCCAGTGTTAAACAGCTTTCTATGTCAAGCGAAGAACGCTTGCGTATTGGTCTGTCATAGTGGAAAAAAGGGATAATCAGTTGCAGCCACAGGTGTAGTTAGCGTGAGTCCTCAAGCTGGAGCGCACATGGCTGTGAATAAACTGATGTCCCATAGATATTGCATGTCAAGCAAACATGTGAAATCTGTGGAAAATACAATCAAGTGTACATCTTTGATTGCAGCTGAAGTGTTCCTTAAGACAGTTTGATAACCCAGTCAACTTTCTCTAGAGAAGGACAGAAACGGTTCACATTCCATTATTTGTAAAGTTACCTGCTGTTGCTTTCATTATTTTTGCTACACATTTTATTTGTATTTAAATGGTTTAAGCAACCTAAGAACAAATGTACAAGTAAAGATGCAGTAAAAATGAATTGCTTGATATCCATAATGACACTGTATATCGAGCACAGCAGCAAAACAAAAACCCATATATTTAACTTTTTTAGGTTTTTTGCTTTTGTGATTTTTTTTTTTGATACTTGCCTAACACATGCATGTGCTGTAAAAATAGTTAACAGGGAAATAACTTGAGATGATGGCTAGCTTTGTTTAATGTCTTATGAAATTTTCATGAACAATCCAAGCATAACTGTTCAAAACGTGTATTAAGTTGATGTAAGTGGAATAAAAGTTTTATGAATGGACTTTTCAACTACTTTTGGTGTAGATTTCATGTGATCTGTCTTCCCACACTTTTAGATTACTATTTTATGGGATTTCAGTACAGAAGTATTTTTATCATCACTAAGCATGTGGAGGACAAGAAGGTGATCAGGAGTAGTCAGCATGGATTCACCCAAGGGAAATCATGCTTGACCAATCTGATAGCCTTCTCTGATGGAATGACTGGCTGGGTAGATGAGGGCAGAGCAGTGGATGTTGTCTCCCTGGACTTCAGCAAGGCTTTGGACACTGTCTCCCATCACATCCTCCTAGGTAAGCTCAGGAAGTGTGGGCTAGACGAGTGGACAGTGAGGTGGCTTGAGAACTGGCTGGATGGCCGAGCTCAGAGGGTTGTGGTGAATGGCGCAGAGTCAAGTTGGAGGCCTGTGGCTAGTGGTGTCCCCCAGGGGTCAGTCCTGGGTCCTATCTTGTTCAATATATTCATCAGTGACCTGGATGAAGGGACAGAGTGCACCCTCAGCAAGTTAGCTGATGATACTAAGCTAGGAGGAGTGGCTGACACACCAGAGGGCTGTGCTGCCATTCAGAGGGACCTGGACAGGCTGGAGAG